GCGAACAGCGGCCTGACCAATTTTAGATAACATTCTTCGAAACACGGTAGGTACCGCGCCCAATCTAAAGCAAGCTAGGAATACTAAAGTGCCTGTATGACGCAGCATCACAGCATTGCATTTCCACTACCCTCTCAATAGGTATCGTGCTCCTGCTTCCACTTGCTAGCAATTTAGAAACACTTAATCACCTTGTGTTCCTGCTCCCTCTCGGTAACAACCTAACACCCCTTACACACCTTGCGTGACAGCGCATTATGCATTCCTTTGGCAATATACACAGATGCGTTCTACTTACTCGTATCCAGGTTATTACGTGCTCCAAATTTTTCAAACTTACGCTGCTGGTTCATATACCTAGGCCGAAGGATCCACTGCTTCCTACCCCGAGGTTTGCGCGTTTTTCAAACCAGGTGGGGATGAGTCACTACAGGCTCATTCCAGCACCAAAAACGTCATCGCGCAACTAATACTACAATTCCTTCTCACTCACTTCCAACAATTTCTGCAGAGCGCCAAGTAGCTATCAATGACTTCACGGCCTCATCTGTTAAGCTAGTTGACCCTAATTGTTCTTCCTCAATGACGCCTATAAATGTTAGGTCCGTAAAGTATAAAATGCACATCCCGCGTCCAATGTCCTTCCTCCCGTGAAACGTGCAGATTTGATGAATGAGGTAGTGAAAGCAAGCACTGCGAATCAGATGCGCTAATTTCGTTGTCAGGAATAGCACCAGCAACTTGTTCTTCCAACAAGCAGTTGACCGAGTACGATGGAACATTTACGTTGTGTGGGTAATTATCACCGCACACATGGAACGGATAAGATGGCCGACTACAAACGTTACGGTGTGAGTGTTTTGGACTTTAGGCGGCCTGATGGATATGAACCACAGTGAACCATTGGGTGAGAGTGGAGTTCACAGTCAGGTGTGTGGAACGACCTTGTACATTTATGTTACCAAATTGCCTATCGTAAAATCTCCCTCTTGGAAAACACGTTCTACAGACTCATACGAATGGAGCTCTGGGTTCACATATGTAAACGTTGCATAGGTTTAGTAGGCCGCATAGTTCGCTCAGTGACTCCATCGCATGGCTCTGCGCACGTCTCTATCGGTTCAACACGCCCCACAATGTTTGGTAGTTCAAACGGGTCAGCAATATATCAAACGGCAACTCGAAAGTATAAGTGATTGTTTATTCGATCCGTCGTTCGCATCGCTGATTAACGTGCCGTATGACAGACAACGTTCCGACAGACACAACATACAGCACAGAGCATTTTCTTAGTCGCGCCACTGCAGGTTGCCAGGTTTGGTAGTTCGGCTATGCATCCAACGCGTACACCGGCTCCCCTAAAAGCAAACGTCTATTCACGCCTGACGCCAATATTATTTGAGTAAACTTAAGGAGTACTGCATCAACTGGAGGACATGTCTCACGCCTGAACATGGCTTCCGCCGGGGACCTCCCGCCTGGTAGTCCGGGGATTCTTGTATCCCATGTTACTTAACAAGAACAGCTGTATGATATCTACTCTGGGTCCTTTCCCCCGTAGTTTTAGAAGTAAACGTTTGATGGTATCCACGAATCTTCTTGCTTACCCGTTGGACTGGGGATGCCCAGAGGACACCGGCAGTGTTTGATACAATAACACTGGCAAAAGCATCAACATCCTCGGAGATAAATTACGAACCGTTATCGGAAACCAACGTGTTTGGAGAAAGGAACTGTGCGAATAACTGTTATATTTTTCCTTCCAGGGCTGCTATCGTAGTTGTGTTCATCAGGTATACGTCCGGCCACTTGGTATACACATCAATCACAATTCAAAAAGGTGGTCTTGAACGGGACCAGGGAAATCAAGGTGAATTTTCTCCCATGGCTTAGAGGCTGGCATCCAGGGTCGGATGAATTTGCATGGAAGTTTCGATGCTGATGCACCTTTGCTACATGTGACGACACAATCCTGGATAGCGTTATTAATAAAAGGCCGATATACGTAAGTTCTGGCTGAAGCTTTCATCCGGGATATTCCGGGACAATGTAGGTGCAAATATCTTAATAACCTTGTCGTTGAGGAAGTCTTAAATAATGCACTGCATCGGTATGTCCATTAAAGGACGGGTTTATTGTGCGACTGTCCGCGTTTTACTGTTGTACGGTTGGGAGACTTTGCCCGTACCTATCGTTGAGCTGCGCCCGTCTCTCTGTCTTTGAGCACCGTTGCTTGCGGTCGATTGCCCGTGTGTGGTCGCTGCACCACATAAACAATGCGGAAGTTAGACAGCGTGGCTTGTGTGGAGTCAGCAATTCGCTGGAGGAGCTCGTCCCACTGCGTCAGCTGCGGTGTCTTGGACATGTACTGCGTATGCCCGGTCATCGTCTTCCACGTCGCGCATTCTGCACGTTTGCTGGACACGCGCGGTGCATAACCTAGACATGGTGAAGCCACACCGGAATTGTCGAGTGATGCTTCACTTCCCCCCACCCCCGGGGGGATTTTCGCCCAATGTAACTAATGCATGTAAGCTGCTTTGGGCTGTGCAATGAACAAATCTGACAGATTAAATTATTTTGGATGTTTGTGAGAAGTGTAAATTTTGTATAAAATAGATTTCACGATTAAAATTCACGCACAATAATGTGCCTCGACGGGGAATCCAACACCGGCATACGAATTTCCGGTCCGCTGCTCTACCACTGAGCTACCGACGGCTGACGATTAGGTGAGCAAATTTTAACACATGAACTCGAACGTAAGTTCAGCCTGATGAAATTGCATGAGGCCGTTAGCCCAGATACAATTCCCCCAGCTCGCTACAAATTCGGGATGCTGCTCTTGTGGACGATTTACAAGAGTTGCTAATTGAACTTGGAAGCCGGAAACTATCCCGACTGATTGGTGCCGCTCCGTCATAGACACAATTTTCTAGGGTGGTTCCCGTTCGAAATGTAACAAACATAGAGGGATCAATCTGTTCCCAATTACTTCATAATTGTTTGCCTTTGTCTTTCTCTACAGGCTGACTGGCACTCTTGTATTCCAGATCCGTGAAGAGCAAGCCGGTTTTCAATGAAATTTAGGCTGCATAGACGACATCTTCCATTGGCGTCAATTGTTGGAACACCGCCATGTTCATTGGGGACCCATCGTCGTCGTGTTTCTCGACGTCAAAGGCGCCTTCGATTCGGTGGATGAATGGCCAGTTTGGAACTGTCTACTGAGTAAAGGTGGGCCCGATATATAGGTAAACATTATCAAAGCACTGTGCGCACAGAGTTTGAGCATATTCAAGTTTTATGGAAAACTGTCGCCGTACTACAATATCTACAGCGTTGTGAGACGAGGTATCCCGGTGTCGCCTTTGGTATATAACTTCGCTATTGTTGAAGACATGGAAACGGCGTTGGCTGGACACGACCTAGAAGGCGTGGAGCTACTTGTTGGTGAGCGACTTCTTGACTTGGATTATGCTAACGAGGTGGCTCTCATATGTGACAGCTCCTAAATGTGCCAGGCTGCATTGGACCGATAAGCACTGACTGTCAATGGTTTTGGGCTAGGTTTTGCCCCATCGAAATGCAAGGTACTTCTCGTAGATCGGCAGTGACTCACCCCTGCGCTGACACTTGGCGGTAATCAGCTAGAAGTCGTCCAGGAAATCAATTACCGTTACAGCTCTATTAGTACCCGCGAGGATCGTAGCTGAGATTACAAGCCGTATAGCAAAAGCTCGTGATGCATTTGCTATTCTCCGCAACTTCTGGCGCAGACGCGACATCACACTCCCCTGAAGGGCAGAGTGTATAATGCAGCCGTCCGTTCAACCCTCTTGTACCGTTGTGAAACCTGGCCCATCAGGTCGTCAGAAATAAATATGCTTGTCACGTTCGAGCAGCGTCATCTTCACAGCTTCGCTATGTTTGATGGGAGCATTGCGTGAGTCATGATTGTGTTCGGCGTGGCGTAATCGGTGCAGGAAGAACGATTGAACCGCTCAGTACCAGTATATCACACACGAAGCTCCGATGGCTGGGCCACGTGTTACGCATGCCTGCATACCGACTCTCGCTACGTGCATTGTTTGCGCGCCGGGACTGTGGTTGGAAGAAGACGGGGGGAGGCCAAGCGATGAATTAATTGAGAGAAACGATGAAATCCCTCATTTTGGAAGTTGGCGTCGGTTGGTAATTTCCGACGGCCTGGCTGGGGACCTAAGGATGATGAACAGGTTTGTATGGCTACACTTGCTGCTATGGTTAGGAGCCGGCCCCAATGGCCTTTCTATTGTGAGTTCCTTTGTCCACCTCCTCCCGCAAGCCTCCCACTCCACTCACGATCTCATTCCTTAGACATCATACAACCTTCATTTTGTGAAACCGTAGCCAAACCTTACCTCTCCAGAACGATTCCCATCCGCTACTAGGGCATCAGCTCTCTCGCCTCTGTTGTTTAGATTCTTTTTCTTGCCTTTCTTTGCGGCACAATAGTTGAGGTGCTTTTAACCAGCAGCTAATGTGCATAATGAGGATGAGGATGATGATGACTGTTGATCTTCACATTGGAATTTATGGTTTGCTACATTATGATTCAGTATTCTTCTATGGTCAGACGGAAGGACGGTTTAGTCTACAAGCTCAATGATTTCCAATAAACCTGGCATGTATGTCTGACTATAGGCAACACCAAATGTCAAAACGGGTGTGACAAGTGGGACTGCTCACCAGGCAACCAAACGTTCCACACAATTGCGTGACTTGAAATTGTACTGTTCAGACGTAAAGGCTCAAGGGCTATTTGTTATGGGAGGGGAAATTGTGACACCTCTGTCATTCTGCACAATGCACCTGGTGCACTCCAAAGCATAATCAATTTGAGAAATGCTTTCTGACAGTACGAATCGTTAAATCACATGGAACGGAGCCATTAGACAAGAAGGTTGCATGGCTATAAATTCATTGTACGGTGGTCTGGTAAAATTAGGACCGCAAGAATGAATCTGTGGGTATCAATCCTGTTGTTTCTCGCCCTCGAATGCAGTGCCATTACGGACCTGCAGAAGGCTAAGCTTTTGAGCTTACATAACAATGCACGTCTCAAGGTGTTGAAGTGCCAACTTCCAGGGCAACCATCTGCCAAACAACTACTCAACCTGGTGAGTGTACTTTGAAAATATGAATGCACAGATTACGTTTCCACCCGCATCTACCTGATGCGATTATCAAGCATTTTGGTAGTTAAATGTCTCACAGTGTTACCACATTTTTAGAGAAGTTCCACTTAATGCGTGTTGGTACATGAATGCAAATGGTGACCAAGGGGTGTCACGTAGTGGCAACCATGAAACTGCAAGGAATGTGGGCCATAAAAAAATAAGTTGCATCAATTTTAAAGCTTAAAATACGACTATGTCTGGTATTTTCCAAAAAACGTTTGATATTTATGCACATGAGTTTAGTCGCTACTTTAATTGAGGTCTATTGTAAGAGGTCGTATTTGGCTGTTATTACGCATTGCAACCATGGAGGCTGACTTTGGGGCACCTTTGTTGGACATTCGTTTCATAGCTTTGATGAATTCTATTCCCTGGTGACGTCATTTATGCATCGGAACAACGTCAATTTTGTTTGCTGTGAGGTATGATCGCATCGTTTATAAATGCCTGCGCTGTAAGCGCCGGAAAACAAGAAGCAAAGGAATACGGCGAGTCTAGTACATGGTTTATAATGTTGTTAACCGTCCTATTTAGTTCGCGAGATATTGATTGCAGTGCTGGTGTCAATGTTGCTCTGGATGGCCGTAAGCTAAAGGTGCTAACGTTCCAGCTCTCACAACCATCCATGCAACCGGTTTCTTTTCGAAAGGCACCCTCTAAACCGGCGACTTACTGAGGAGGAATGCTATCAAGCTGCTGACTTATTTCGATACAACACCCCGTAATGTACGCCGCTGGTTGCGTTCGCCCGTGTCATGTAGGTGAAATGTCACGTTATTATAGCTAGCCAATTTGCGGCAGGCCCTGCATAGCGTGGAACCGGATGGTTTCGTGGGAACAATTTCTGAAAAAGGCTTACTTACGCATGTGTGCTTTTGCAAGCGCTTTTAAATAGCTTTTCACCTCCGCTCAGACACTTCGGATGTTTGTGACGCGGTACCCTGCTGCAGCTGTGCCACATAGCTGTGTCACATAGTACGGACAACGCGCCCGCTATGCCTATGCGCTTACAAAATGAGACGACCACTTCGGCGGAGCTGCAGCCTATCCGCAAACCTGCGTTTGAGTATGTCATAATATATTGTTACCTGCATCCTCCTCAGTGTAGATCTGGATTCCACTGCAAATGAACCCTTTGCTGGAAAGACAACCGTTTTAAGGAGCACTTTCATGATCTGCTTGCCAGACAGTAAGTTCTGTGCCATTGTCATTAAACCACTGCAGCCGATGATTACGACTTTGCCTAACTGCTTAAGGTCCAGCCTGTGAGAACGCAAACTTGGCCCTTTTTAGGGCCACCTCCTGTTTCGTTTCCGTGTGCTTCCCTCTTGTCAACCCGACGCAACTGCTCGGTTGACGGCACTGATTGGAACATTCGGTAAATGAATCGGACGGAGGCTCTGTAATCCTCGCAGGAATGGCCCAATTGCTGTTTAACTGGGCCTCCTAGCCCATGCATTCCTTGTTCAGAATGGTTTCTTTTAAGTACATTACTTTTACCCCACTCCTTAGTGATCCGCTGTGTTGACGTGACGCATATGACGTGTCCGGCACATTTGCGTGAGCATTTTGAATGGGTCTGAACGACAACGTTCCCGGAAATGTTATCTGTGCCAATACGTTTCTTGACAATTCTGTTATCAATTGCATGTCACCATTTCCGCATTGTCCCAGAGCTGTTAAAGAGCTAGCTATTGATGCCTACTGATTGGCATTTTTGGTGCCCTTGCAATGAGCTTTAGGCACCCTGTCTGGACGGGTAGACGACGACATATGTAGGCTATTATATCACCCGTGCACTAGGTCTGTGCTGGTATGTATTGAGGCTTCAAGATCTACGCCATTGCTGCTAGTGCTAAGAGAGCTTTCTAGGCTATTTTATCACCAGTGCAACAGGCCTGTAATGATATGTATTGAGGCTCCAAGACCTACCTTCTTGGTGGTAAGTGCTACGAGACCTACGTAGGCTACTGTATCACCAGTGCACTAGGTCCGTGCTGATATGTATTGAGGCTCCAAGACCTACCTTCTTGGTGATAGTGCTACGAGACCTACGTAGGCTACTGTATCCTCAGTGTACCAGGTCCGTGCTGATATGTATTGAGGCTCCAAGACCTACCTTCTTGGTGATAGTGCTACGAGACCTACGTAGGCTACTGTATCACCAGTGCACCAGGTCTGTGCTGATATGTATTGAGGCTCCGAGACCTACGCCATTGCTGCTAGTGCTAAGAGACTTATGTAGGCTACTGTATCACCAGTGCACCGGGTCTGTGCCGATATGTATGGAGGCTCCGAGACCTACGCAATTGGTGCTAGTGCTAAGTGAGCTATCTAGACTATTTTATCACCAGTGCAACAGGCCTGTAATGATATGTATTGAGGCTCCGAGAATTACATTCTTGGTTATAGTGCTAAGAAACCTATGTACCTTGTGAAGCCCTATTGCTCTCAAGTTTCCGAATTTCCGTTTATATCCTGGCAACTGGCTCATCACCTCATCCCAAATGCCATCCACTAGGCTTGTGATGCCCGTGACCCATAAACGTCTAACATGCCAACATGTTCATTCCTTCATCATATGCTTGAAGTGACTGTGGACTTGCATTGTTACCATTACACTCAACATGTGGGCATTGTTCTGCTTTGCAAAACTAGTGGGGTCCTGTGGACTGCGGTGTGCACTTCCTCTACTCAGTTTAGTTGTTTTGGCATATTGAGTATATTCTTACTGATGCAGGCAATAAGTGTCCATTTATTACCCTGTGACGTTACTCTACATGAAGTCATGTGCGCTGATCACATTAATATACGGAGCACACCGGCGCATCCTCCTTGGATAGATCGTACCGGTAAATACCTGCTCACGAAGAGCTCTAAGTGATGCCAAATTTCCCGGACGGCTTCATCAAACAAAACCTACGGAAGCTACCAGGTGGTTAGAAATAAATGTAAGCTACAAACCAGGACGGCTCGGCTTTAATTACGGTTGAAATCGTAGAGGATATCTGTATCCCAGCAATCGATGCGATGCCCGTGCTTAGTACTGTGGTACTGTGTTGTAACCATTAGCATCATTTAATGAAAGTTGTTTACAAAACCTACTTCTCCCACATTGTATATTTATTTCATTAGCATCCACGTCAAGTTCAAGTTCAAGTGGGACTGGAACAACAGGATAAATCCCGTAAGTGTACAGCCTCAATTACATTTACATTTACAGATAGCTCGATGTATTCCGCGCACGGCGACGGTTAATTTTCTAACTGTCAGTGCAACTAAGCCTTGAGTTCACTGAGTAGTAGAGAGCAGAAGAGAGGCCTCGTGAAATCTTCTTCACTTCGTCGTGAACCGATTTATCTAACGGTGTCTAGACAGCTGCTGTATTACTTTCATTACTTAACATTTCACTGTAACCTGATAACTTCTATAACCCTTTTAGGCGTCATAATACAACTACAGAGCTTTCCAGAATATCGATCAGAACCTTCTCAATGCGAAATGGATCCAACCAGTGCAACAATCATTTTGACTGTCAATAAGATACTCACAGCTGCCAGAGATATACCAGCTTATTGCATCCTTTTCCAGAGAAGGAACAATGATATTGTGCGACTTCTACCTACCAGATAGTAACAACGTCCTTCTCATTTGTTGCCATCGTTCATTAATGTGCCAACGGTTACCAATAATAATCGTCATACTGGTGCATTCAAACACACATTTTCAGGTTAAGCTGACTAGAAAATACCCATCTCCACGCAATTCTAATCACGTCCATGTAGCCAATCGGATAGATTCGCCATCTTGAAATCACACGGTTTGCCTTGCCACTAGTGGCCAGCGTGACCAAGGTTTATCGGATGAAGGTTGGATCCTGTATTGCTGTTCTTTGGTTACAATGTATCAGAATATTGCAGATAACGGTCGAAAATAATTTATGTGTAGAGGCGATTTCCATTTGTACTTTGAAACCGAACAATTCAACTAGCAAGCACTTAGCGGTCCGTTGATTGCATTGCCTTTTCCATTGACAGTCTTGGGACGATGAACTAGCAGAGAAAGCGCAGCGACAGAGTGACACATGTCAATTCGGCCATAACACGAACGAGGAAAGAATCACCTCGAAATGGAGGAATTGGGTTGGGCAAAACATTGCAGGAAACCCAGCATATGAAAAGTAATGTCATATTTCTAATGTTGTTGTTGGCTCGCTGGCTAGTGAGGATATTTTCGCCACTGAGACAAATGTCCAATCCATATAGTCTTAAAGATTCGTTTCAACTTATCGGTGAGTTAGACGACATCAACCTCTACGATAAGGTCATGTGTTCCTTGGATGTTGAATCTCTATTCACCAACGTTCCACTACAGCAAACTGTTGATAACATATGTGAGCTAGTTGAGCAATCTAGTTATTCGTTACCAATTCCAGTCGAATTTCTAAAGGAATCCTTACTTCTGTGTACAGCAAATGTTGGCTTCCACTTTCAGAACATCCCATATCGTCGAATCGATGGTGTGGCAATGGGTAGCCCACTATGCCCTGTACTTGCCGATTTCTTCATGCTGATGATAGAAAGAGGCATATCCGCAGAAATAGCCCAGCCACCATATTATAAGCGTTATGTGGATGACATATTGGCCTTTTGTTCATCGGAGCAGCAGATTGTCCCAGTTTGTGCAGCAACTCAACAGTGCACATACCAACTTGCGGGTCACCTGCGAAGTGGAACAAAACAACTGTCTGCCATTCTTAGACATCCTCATCAGTCGCAGGGATGACGGGCTCATTAAAAGGTCTATCTACAGGAAAGCAACCTGGTCCGGCCAATACTTGCACTTCACCAGCTTCACAGCAGTGCGGTACAAGCTGACCCTTGTGAAAACTTTAGTTACTCGTGCTAGACGAATTTGCTCGGCTGATTGTCTAGCCGACGAGCTAGAGTGAATTACAACAACACTCATTGCAAATGGTTATCCACGTAAATTTATAGAGAAGCACAGCCAACAGCGAGACCCGAAAGACTTGGTACATACCGCAGCCAAGATAAAGATCTATATCGAGTTGTCTTTCAAAGGTGACTTTACTGTATTGAGAACCACGAAACGTCTAATCTCTGCTACGCAGAGAAGTTACTGTGCCGCTCAGGTTGTGGTCATCAATAGAACCTGTAACTTGCCGGTGCCTCCAACGAATGAAGCTCAACCGATAGGGGCCAACTCACACTGCATATACAAATTCGTGTGCGACTGCGGAAACAGTTACATAGGCAGAACCAATCGGTCTTTGACTTCCCGAATAAAGGAACATGTGCCAAGGTGGGTTCAACGTGAAATTGACCAGCATCCCTGTCCCACTGAAGTTCCGTGCTTGCGCAAGCCGCCAGCTTCCTCAATAGGTAAACACCTACTCACTACGCGTCACCGGATAGAGCTTGGATCAGCGTTCACACTTGTATTACGTCACCCTAATCCCCGCTTCCTCCGTTTCGCCGAGGCCGTTGCGATAAGCCGGATGAAGCCGGCCCTGTGTGTTCAAAAACAATTATTTATCAGCTTAAGACTGCCGTGGACATAGGGGTGGAACTTCCGTCATTCATTTTGCACCCCATGCTTATTCGGTCACACACATATTTAAGTATATAGTTGCATACCGGTTATTGTTAATGGTACTGAGGAGACAATACGAAATGCATGCATCTACCAGTTTTCGTCTTCTTACCGTGCTTTTTAAAAGCAGAGTAGTTTTACCGATTACATCGGTGATTTGTGTGCGTAGGACAGCCGACGAATCGTCTCTATCAACAAAGCATCACTGATGACAAGCAGTTTCCGACTACGGTTACGTGATAACAATTTGAACGAATCCACCGGGGCTCCATTAGAGTTTTATGGATGGACGAGGTGCGGGCCCTGTTCATCACTTGGTCCACTCAATCATGATGCCACAGGGTTGGCATAAACCACATAAAGAAATGTCCAACCATCCCGTGACCCTGATGAACTGTGAACGTAGGCCATACCACGTAGGCTAAACTGTCTAGCAATGTACTCTGGCGTTACTGAATCACATTGATTTTGGGGTTGTACATAAGTGGTGCTCAAGTAGTCGTGTATGTGTGCGATAAGGCAGACTCGGTTTACTATCAAGTGCCTTTCACAAATGATTGATGCCCAGGGCACCGATGTTACTGATAAGTGTCTGCTTATATGCGACCGTGTACCATTACACACGGATCTGGGACGCGCGTTCCAAGATGAGCATTAACCACCAGGAAGACTTGCGACTCGCAATATATTCGCCCTCCTTGAACGCAATAGATTTCCGCAGCTCGTGTGCATCCACCACTTTTGTGCACGCAACGTACGCAAATCTGAGGTACTTATATAATAAATCGTGATGGCTAAATCCTTCCGCGCACCGTGCAGTAGGAAGCAACCTAAGGAGGACAACACATTAAGCAGACCACCTGGTTGTCGTGCATATCTGGGGATATATTCTTTGTTCGTTTCCCTTTTGTAATAACTTTATTTTTCCTACCTCGGCTAAGTTGCGTGCTAACTCCGCCTCGTCAAATCGTTGTTGAAAGGGCCAGGAGCTTTTGCAGTCTGTACTCACTAAATACTGAGTAACATTGTCTATACAACAAAATACTTTGAAACGGATGTCCTGAGAAAATCATCCAACTTCACGGCGAACCATAAAAAGCTGTCAATTCTTACTGTCACGAAAATGATTATTTTCCTGTTTCTACCGCTCAAAGAGCATAATGTCGCGAGGGATGCTTGACAGTAAATCAGGTCTACCGTATCGCTGAGATACATGACCACACTTGACCACAACACATCTACACTGCCCAAAAACTGTTATCATGAAGAATTGCCAGAGTACATTGCCAGACAGTTCCGCCTCCGTGGTATGAAGAAGTTCATGGGTTCAACTGACTCAAGGGATGGCTGACCATTTCGGAATGTAATTAAAGCCATCACTGTGGCAACAATAGTAAGTGGCCCAAGCGACGCACAGGATGTGCGCCTCGTCCATCCCCAAGCTTCAAATGAAGTCCAGGTGAATTTGTTCAAGTTATTGTTATGTAACCGCAGTCGGAAACTGCTTGCCAACAGTGAGGTCGTGCGCAATGCACAACACCTGACGAATAGTCCTTGGCACAATCGTCCGGCTATTGTGTTAGCACCCCTAAATCTGCCGTAGAACCAACAAATGGTGAAGTTCTGGCCATTCAAGGTAATCGATTACGCCGTCTAAATCGCCATGCGTCTGTCATCATTCTTCTCAATAACGATTGATCAACTCAATGTATGGCGTCCATTGACAGTGTTAGCTATTGGGACTGTAATGCTCGTCACAGTGACATGGCTATCCCAGCATTCATCTGATACACTATTTCACTTCCTCCGATGCACGATCTTTGCAGTGGACGTGCAATCCAGCGCCGTGGAGGATGTCCCGTAGACGTTCGCGAAGACTTCAGCGCATTGCTGTTTGAGGTACTCCACTTTTTAAAACTGTGGACTCCATATTGATCCACACTACTCTCCCACTCCAAACGCGGCTGCAGTTATCTAGAAAGCGGTCGCTGCCTTATTGGCGCCATTTGGAAAACAGAAATTCATGATGCGTCAAATGCACCCCACATGACACATGAATATGTTTTCGTTGTGGTCCCAACTGCATCATTGTTAGCGCAAATTCCGAGGTCTACTAAAAGACCATTGCTCTTTGAAGAACGGTTGAATGCCATTGAAATATGCAACGTAGCACATCGTGATCAGAGTTCACACTGGTCTCCGGGTCTTGAATCTATTCAACTAAATGTGGCTATCCCATTTAATTAAACAGTAATGACAGAGGGTCACATCAGAATCACCAACCGAGACTACGGTGTACAACCCATAAACTCGAATGCTTGGCAACTCGTCATGACACGAGGCGTACCATTTCCCCAGTTTTCAGTTCAGACTGACAAACACATAATGCAGTGAGACAAATATAGTATACACAGGGTGTTTCGGTGAGGGATGAACCCATCAGTAGTCACTGTATACGTGAAAGTCCCTGCAAACGCAGGCATTTCACTGGTTATGTGTAGGAGGCCGGCAAGCTAGAGGTTATTATGTTTCCTACAATCAGGTTGGACTCTTAAGGCACTATAGTGTGAGCCATAGATTTGCACGAATCACCAGTTTAATACCATGAACAGTGATTTGGAACAAGTGAAAGAGTGAGTTGATGACCATTTCCTAAGACAGCAGGAGTGAGGATATAAAAGCAACTTTCTAAATCCACTTATCATCATCTACATCCTATTCCGGTAGTCGGCATTTTTACTGTGGTGCTCAACGCTGACGAATTTGTGGAATGTCTCAACCAACATGGCACATTGAATGCAGATTAATTTGCACCATCAATCAATGCGCGAAACATTAGGCGACCTCAGATTAATTAAGCCAATGGAACAAAGATGTATTACGGATTCAAAACAGCATATATATATTTCTTTGGTAGGTTCAGTAGGTGGAGCACGAAGAAATAATAAGAACATGTTGTATGGTTAGAAGCCTTTTGCTGAAGCACTAGTTTTCCCCACAATGTTATTCGCAGATTTGTCTAGGTCAACTGGGTTGGGGATTAGAACTGGGTAAAATATTGGCTACGCTACGTTCTCTCCCGACTTGGACCGGTTACAGTTTGACATACAGGTTACCTAATGCAACGTCAAATCTTTTTGTACACCGGTATTTAATAGCAAGAAATCATGGATAATTAGTGCTGTTCCATACTTTAGACTGATGAAAGGTAGGAAATATCAACGAATTTCAAACGAGCTACATACGAGCTGGTGGCTTCTTAGTTTCGCATTGTAAGTAGTTCAAGAAAAGCGGCAGATGTGGTTAGGCTTTCAGACTCTAGTAGGTCATTTTACGTTGGAAGTATATTCATCCATACTGACCACTTCACAATCTCAGTGCTCGCAGCCTAAGAGGATATGAAATGTGGAACAATACCTTGACATGATGGGTCGCTCATCGCGGTGAAGTCTACGACGAGGTAAGATCTTGTTCTTAGTATGACTGATCATCCTGATTAGCGTATCTTCCAATTGACCCTACGTATATCAAGCATCTGCTGCGAGTTGTATAGATCAAACTACCCGTATGC